ACTATCGTTCTAACAGTGGCCTCTCACCTATATTTCGTCATAATATTATATATATATATATATATATATATATATAAAAAATGTAGAGCCCTATCTAACATTAAACGTCAATAAACGCTACTATAATAAATAGCCACTGAAACATATGCTGTTGCGGTAGTCTGGAACGTTTTTCCTAATGCCTAACCAACATAACTTCATTTTTGAGGCTTCAGCGCTTGTAATATTTCCCTGTTACCTATCACACTTTAAAGCTATTCTCAATCTATACCTTCGAAGATATAAAGCACAAAGTTGAATGTGTTGGTAGGGTACTCGACCTTTCAATTTCTCCTTCATTCAGTGTGTCTTTGTTTCTCTCCCCGACCAAAAGTGGGGCTATGGCAAACACACTATCAAGGGCCATTAATGAGGTTTTCGCATGTGATCCGCTCTTTTACTGTGGGTAGCAGGTTTCAAAGTGTCGAAAATCAAGAATTTACAAATATTTCACTTGTAAGGGTCTTACAGTTACACACAGCTTCTTACAGTTTCAGGACGCTCTTGCACACTGCAATGGCGCTAATTCGTGACACGTTATTGACGTCATCTGTTGCTGAGTTGGCAGGGGTTTACAGAAAACCCGATATCTGTTATATGGACGAAATATTTTTCACAGAATAAAACAAAATTATGTCAAATTAGAATAATACTCTACGTAACTTTACTATAAAATATAGAATATGATAAGTTACATTAGGTGGAGATTCGCATTTCGTAAATAGTCGTATGCTTGTTTAATTTCTTTCTCTGAAACTTCTCATTGTTCCACGTTATCTTAAAACTTTAACCTTCCCATGTCCTCTACTCTAACTAGGGAGAGTTTCAAAAGTACAAAGAATAATATTTAAAACACGTTTTGATTATTGTAATAGTAGAAAGCAATAAACAAAATTGCCAACATAGGACAATATTATTATTAATAATATGAAACAATTTAATAGGTAAGAAAATGTAAACAAGCTTTAATAGTTTAAGCAAACTTGTAAGAATTTTGTATTTATGTTTTAAAGAAATTTTAAATCACCCCCATAAATATATATAGCGTTTCGTATGACGTAATGAAGAATGAGTTGTATGATCTTTTGCCTAAGGATTGTAATTAAATTTAACTTTATTTAAAAGGACAACTATTCGGCATAAATAGCTTTAACTTAGGCACGAATAGTTGTAGGATTTCCTTTTTCTTTCTATTTTTTAATATGATATCAAGAAGTTTATGAAAACTGTTCTACTCTAATTTTATCACTACTGGTGTTATTGAAAATTTTGAAAAATAATAATTTTGGTTTGAGTAAGATTTATTACGTCAATTTCGATGACGAGGAACCCACTTTGCAACTAATAATGGCTGGAGACGGCTTGAATGGGTAATGAAGAAAAACTTTAATATAAGTTTAACATAACAGCAAATGTACAAGCCGTCTCCAGCTTTTATTATTACGTCAACGTTCCGGAAAAATGACAACGTAATAGAAATTCGAAAATTTTGCGAGTTTTTCTTATCACGAAAATTACGTTCGGTACAAGAACAACAAAGGACATTTTATTATTAATTTGAGTTTATTAATCACCACTCACAGAGTTTTTGAAAGCAAATAGTTTTTCGTGAGAATTTTAAAGAATAACATTGTTGTTTTAATTTTAGTTTGAAAAACTATAGCATTTTTTTTTCGGTTTCTACTATTTTACGCCGTTTAGCACTTTTAAACGATTGGTTTCGTCATAAACCATGCAGACCATCAAGCAAGTTAATTTTATTCTACATATCCTTAATAAAATTGGGAAAGTACAGACACGAGCAATGCTTTTTAGTGTACCGAACATACTCACACTTTAAGCTGTGGGTACGTTATAATGTGACGGTCAACCCCACTATTCGTTGGTAAAAGAGTAGTTCAAGAGTGGTGGGTGGGTGGTGTTGACTAACTACCCTTCCTCTAGTCTATCATTACTAAATTGGGAACGGCTAGCGCAGATAGCCATCGAGTAGCTATGTGCGAAATTCAAACCAAACTTTTTGCTGAAAAAAACATTCTTTGATAAGTTTTTTGTTGTTGTTGTTTTTAGAGTTAATATTTTTAGTGAAATTTCTTCTTTTTATTACTTTGAAGTATTTTCCTGATTAGCTTGAAATTACAGTTGCACCACGGCTCAGTATCGGTAGAAATTCACCTTATTCTAATTTAATACCATTTTATAGTTGTTTGTTTGTTTTTTTAGGGGTTATAGCCTTTAAAACTTGGAATATATTTTCTGTTGCCCATATCAGTGATTATAGAGTTAATTTAAAAATCTGGCAGTGGCGTAGAGTGTAGACAAAATGTCTAGCGTCCATCTCGTTATATGGCAATTAGTAGGTCAAGGGTCACCGGTCGGGGGCACACATAAAACGCCCATCCCACTACAGTTGAATGTCATGTCAACTTTAAGTTACTTGTCTTTTGTTTGTAAGCACAAAGCTACACAAAGGGCTATCTGTGCTCTGCCCACCACGGGTATCGAAACCCGGTTTCTAGCGTTATAAGTCCAGAGACATACCGCTGTGCCACTGAGGGGCTATTTGTCTGTTAGTGCAATTTACTCTTGTACTACCATGGACACATATATATACCCCTCTAGAGCATTGCCATAGGTAGAGATATGGAGCGTACTATATAACATTTGTTTTAGTCTTGAAAAGTATGATAACAAGTAAATGTTCTGAGAAATAGGTATGCAACAAAAACAACAAATTTGTATTTAATTTTAAAAAATCATAGATGTTGCATGTTAATTTGTAAGTCTTGGAAACGAATTCACGAATTTATTTTGCTGAATACTTCTTAGAATCCGAGAACGTAAACATTTGACAAATATTTCAGGAAATTATCCCTAAAAGAAGACATACTGATATTACAAGTATTTAGCGAAAAATAAGTTTGTTTGTTTTGAATTTCGCGCAAAGCTACACGAGGGCTATCTGCGCTAGCCGTCCCTAATTT